GCCTTAATGCTCTTTTTCCATAAATTAAGTTATAAACTTTGAGAACAAGAGTCCATGCCTTCTTGAAAGCCTTCCTGAAAAGCACCTAGGATAATGAAGTTTCCTTCCTTCTTCTGGCTGTTAGGAATCACCATAATATAAAAAAATAAATAAAATTATTCGAATTCATGGTCATGGCACATAAACAGATTCCTTCGTATCAGCTTGGGAACACGATAATTAATTGCTTTTTAAAAATGAATTAATAAATAGTATTCCCAAACATGTACAGCTTAGGGAGGATGCTCAGTTTATTGCCTGAAAATAGAAGCTTTTTGTTCATAAATAAATAGGATGTGGGAACATTTTCAAGTTTACAAGTCTGTCTGGGGGTCATATTTCTGAAAGCATTCAAGTGCCTAATGGTGCGAGCACTCCCCCCAGGAGTTTTTCTTCATCTTTTGATACCCACAGGTACTGGACAGTTGTTGCTGAAACGTGTTCTGGGAGGAGACAGACTGACTGAAAGGAGTTGCATGCTCTTAGAAAGTGATTTAAGATCAATAGGTGTTCATTCCAGGGGCAAGACTCAAGTTCATTGTTTAAGGACTTGCTATTTCTGCTGACCTTGTCCACTGATAGGCTACATTGTGAGGTACTGCTAACAGAGATAAGGCTTCTCTGGTGTGAACAAACATTATTAGGAATTTAACTGAAGTAATGGCTTCTGTTTAAATCGGTTTGTCAGTGACCTGCTGAATGCAGATTAGGCTACGGAGGCTGTGTTATTGTTCGTATTGATGCTGAAGATACAGAAATTACCTTACAAAATCTCCAATCTTTTCATTCTCATCCCTTTACTGTGGGAAGTCTTTGCATTTTGAAAAATATCTATCAGAGCGTGGGAGCACTGACAAATCAGGGTACTTTAAAACTCCAGTATCTGCTATATTCATTCATCATCAACATCTTTTGTGTCGTGGCTAATTCCACGCATGTTCATCATCATCACTTTGTGCACAGAACTGTCTTTAACAGTCACAGCCAGCTGTGAGGACATGGCACTACAGAGAGATGCCATACAGTTGATAAGTAGATTCCCATGGTTCTTGGTTATCCTCAGTCACCAACACTGGGGCGATTGAGACAGTAATCAAGTGTGCTTGTCTTCTTTCTTCTCTGGTATTTCTTATTGATGCCTGATGATTTTATGCTATTTCCCCTCCCAAAAGTGGAGGACTTAACTCTTCTAGATGTTTTCAGTTTTGACAGTCATGGTTCCTACGTGTTTGGCAGAATGTCCACTGAATGTCCACGAGAGTGCCTCCTTAGACTGAATGAATACAAATCTATGGGGCCAGATGGCGTGCATCCCAGGGTCCTGAAGGAGCTGGCTGAGGTGGTTGCCGAGCCGCTCTCCATCATATTTGAGAAGTCATGGCTGTCAGATGAGGTCCCGGATGACTGGAGGAAGGGTCACGTCACTCCCATATACAAGAAGGGGAGCAGGGAGGACCCGGGGAACTACAGGCCGGTGAGTCTCACCTCCGTGCCTGGGAAGATCATGGAACAGATCATCCTGGACAACATGCTCGACCACATAAAGAATGAGCATGTGATCCGAGACAGCCAGCACGGCTTCACCAAGGGAAGGTCATGCCTGACTAATCTTGTGGCCTTCTATGATGGAGTGACGGCATTGGTGGACGAAGGGAAGGCGACCGATGTCATTTACCTGGACCTGAGCAAGGCCTTTGACATGGTCCCCCACCACATCCTCATCTCCAAATTGGAGGGAAGTGGATTTGATGGGTGGACGACCCGATGGATAAAAAACTGGTTGAAAGGCCACAGACAGAGGGTGGTGGTCAATGGCTCTATGTCCAAGTGGAGGCCGGTAACAAGTGGTGTCCCCCAAGGGTCTGTCTTGGGACCGGTGCTCTTTAACATCTTTATTAATGACATCGATGAGGGAATTGAGTGCACCCTCAGCAAGTTTGCTGACGACACCAAGCTGAGTGGTGCGGTTCATACGGTGGAAGGAAGGGATGCCATTCAGAGGGACCTCGACAGGCTGGAGGGCTGGGCTCGGGTGAACCTAATGAGGTTCAACACGGCAAAGTGCAAGGTTTTGCATTTGGGCCAGAAGAATCCCAGGCACCCGTACAGGCTGGGAGGAGTGGTCCTTGAGAGCAGCTCGGCAGAGAAGGACCTGGGGGTCCTGATGGACGAGAGACTGAACATGAGCCAGCAGTGCGCTCTGGCAGCTCGAAAGGCAAATGGGATCCTGGGCTCCATCAGGAGAGGGGTGGTCAGCAGGGAGAGGGAGGTGATTGTCCCTCTCTACTCGGCTCTTGTGAGGCCCCATCTGGAGTACTGTGTCCAGGTGTGGAGCCCTCAGTACAAGAAAGACATGGAGATTTTGGAAAGGGTCCAGAGGAGGGCGACTAAAATGATCAGGGGGCTGGAGCACCTCCCCTATGAGGACAGGCTGAGGGAATTGGGCTTGTTCAGCCTGGAGAAGAGAAGGCTGCGGGGTGACCTCATTGCAGCCTATCAATACCTGAAGGGAACCTACACCCAGGAGGGGAGTAAACTCTTCAAAAGGGCTGACAACAGCAGGACTAGGGGAAATGGATCCAAGTTGAAGGAGGGAAGATTTAGGTTGGATGTTAGGGGGAAGTTCTTTACAAGGAGAGTGGTTAGGCCCTGGAACGGGCTGCCCAGGGAGGTTGTGGATGCCCCGTCCTTGGACGTGTTCAAGGCCAGGTTGGACGGGGTCCTGGGCAACCTGATCTGAATGTGTGTGTTTGGTGGCCCTGCTAGGCAGGGGGGTTGGAACTACATGATCCTTGAGGTCCCTTCCAACCCGGGTGATTCTGTGATTCTGTGATTCTGTGATCTGTGATTTGCAGCCCATCGTGCTTATTCTCTGCATGGAAAAAATTGTTACATAGACTGCTACCTGCAACTATACCCATCTTAATTAGTCATGTTCCTTACGTACTGAAGTAAAATGCATGTATATTGGATCTTATGTGTCATGAGTGTTACAAAATACTTCTATTCTGCTGTTAGTTACACCACCCTCGTACATATTTGGGTTGAAGACAAATTAGTAAAAATCATATCCTGATTAATATATTTATAGTTTCTAGGTGGCATAGACCTCTGTTTTACTACAGGAGCATATTTTCTGTGTTTCTGACCTGTATTCCCATGGCACAGCAGGCTTGTGGCCTGTACTGCCTTACTGTCTGAACACCGCTGGCCACACTGTGCAGTGACCTTGTAAGACAGGTATATATTTCCTTAGTCTTCCCATGACTATTTCTGCAGATATTGAATCTGCAGTCCCTTGCAGGGGTGGAAAGGAACTGTATCTGTGCACCCATGTTAGATGTTTACTTCTCTAGCAGCAGTTCAGTCCAATCCTCAGAAAACCCTTGGTGCACTCTCTTCTGTCATGCCCACATTTTCAGCGTACTCTACATGAGTAAATCTGATACCAGCCTCATAGGGAGGGAATGCACAAGTAGAGAAGCTGCTGTTTTTATCTCCATAACTATTCTTCAGTGATAATGAGATGACTGAAATGACTACCATTCTCATTCTCCCTAACTGATGAGGTGATTTGCTATCACCTCAATGGGCCAAGTAAGCACTCCTGGCCCAAACTTTTTTCCTTTATATTTTTAGGTAGTGAGGGAAAGTATTTTGAAATAGGAGCTTGCTACTAGCTGATGAAGTCAGCAATAGAGTTACTTACAACTAAGAAAGGGAAAATGAATAAATTTGCCTTAGGTAATCATAGAATCATAGAATGGCCTGGATTGAAAAGGACCACAATGATCATGTAGTTTCAACCCCCTGCTATGTGCAGGGTCACCAACCAGCAGACCAGGCTGCCCAGAGCCACATCCAGCCTGGCCTTGAATGCCTCCAGGGATGGGGCATCCACAGCCTCCTTGGGCAACCTGTTCCAGTGCATCACCACCCTCTGGGTGAAAAACTTCCTCCTAATATCTAACCTAAACCTCCCCTGTCTCAGTTTAAAACCATTCCCCCTTGTGCTATCACTGTCCTCGCAAACAGCCTCGCAAACAGCCATTCCCCCTCCTGTTTATATGCTCCCTTCAAGGACTGGAAGGCCACAATGAGGTCTCCCTGGAGCCTTCTCTTCTCTAAGCTAAACAAGCCCAGTTCCCTCAACCTTTCCTCACAGTAGAGATGCTCCAGCCCTCTGATCATCTTAGTGCCCTCCTCTGGACCCCCTCTAAGAGCTCCACGTCCTTCCTGTGCTGGGTACCCCAGGCCTGGATGCAGTACTGCAGATGGGGCCTCACAAGAGCCGAGTAGAGGGGGACAAGCACCTCCCTCTCCATGCTGGCCACCCCTTTGTTAATGCAGCCCAGAACAAAGTTGGCCTTCTGGACTGCAAGCGCACATTGCCAGCTCGTGTCCACCTTCTTGTCCACCAGGACCCCCAAGTCCCTCTCTGCAGGGAAACACACAGTAGATCATATTGAGAGCTTAGAAAACTCTAACCATGAGAGCACGGTTTTGTTTCATTTAATGGGGTGCCACCCTATTCAGTTCACAAGTGATGCACTACGTCCTGGGCCCAATGGTACACTCATGTGTACCATTTTTCCAGGAGAATCACTAATCACACCCTGTGATTTGGGCCTCATCTTGTAACTATTCCTATTTCTTGAACTAGTCATTTATCTACTGAAATATTAAAAACATTCAATTTATTTTACTTGGATCTATCTGACACGAAGAAAATAAAAATATCTAGGATTTAAAATGTATTACTTGGCATGATTAAATGGTGAAATGAATGAAGTTTTTATGCATGATTGGTAATTATTTAATAATTAAAGAGCTCTTATGAATATTCTTGAACACCCTGTGGAAAAGCTAAACGGTACTCTGATTTCATCAAGCATTCAAATAAAATCAGAATTTATTTTTATAAGATCATTATAAAGATAGTCTGCAGGAACATCACCACGATAACGCAAACAGAACAGAAATGTCACTCGCTATAACACCTCTTCTTTTTTAGTATAAGACCTTGATTTTTCCATGCAAAAGATTTTTCTGCACTAATGTATTTCAGGTGAACTCAATTCCAAATGCCGTTTCAGCCAGTCAGGTTTCATCAGTGGTTCAGTGATAGGTTAAGGGTGGACAAGGCTTGGTCTGTAAGTGCAGATGAATGGCAGCCTCTGGCTGCAAGGGGAGCTTTCCCATTGAGCCCCTCCTGGAAAAAGACAAAGGGCGATCACAAAGGAAAATCAGATGTGATAGAGAACCATTTCACTCCTGACATGAAATCATTCAATCTCAGCTTAGTCTCTGCAAATCTCCTTTTGTTTTAATTTGTGTTTCCATAGTACATACATTGCAGGTTTGTGCAATATTTTAATAAGATGGTGTTTTCTTTCTTATATTGGAAAGAGTTATCCCACTGAAATGTCAGAAGTTCAAGATCAAAGTAAACTACAGGAATCATAAATCATTCCAGTTTTCCTTACCTCCAATGTTGACCATCAGGCAAAGTTTTATGTTAAACAGGTTGTTAATTAGTCCTCCAATGGCATGGAAAATAGATGACAGAGGCCTCTGGACAAAGGTTATTAGAGATCCATCACTCCATCTCAACAATGAACCCTGCAGACAAAAAAGAAATTCTTCAGAAATCTAATGGGAATTCAGGTTGCTTTTAAATTCTGAAAGTTGTTCGGATGTTGTTACAGTTACATATTTACTGATATGGAAAAAGGACTGAGTGGAGACTTTCCTCCTTACGGTTGCTGAAAGAGTTATTGCTTGTGGGGATATCACTGTTCTGTAGAACAGCATGAATAATTCATTTTTAATTCCGTATTAGATTAATTTCACCTCATACTCTGTTCGTGAATTGTCCTCAAATAAATTGTAATTTTCTTGAATATATTTGTTATTCAGAGCAGACAATAGCACTCATGAGTAATTCATTGCAGGTAGGTGACATTCAGATTTTGAGACACTCGGGATGGACACACGGGTCACTCATGCACCCTGTTGCATGCTGAAACTTACGGAATTGAGTTTCTACTTCTAAAAGGCACTTACAAATCTGAAATTCACTTGCTTTTGCCACTCTAAAATGCTAATTTTAAATTCATCATATCAGCAAAAGCACTGGTAGATTCATTGGCTGGAACACTGGTGGGAGGACATTCTGAACAAATTCATTATAAGAATCTGAATGAATACATTCATTTATAGAACCAAGTTGAGTCTACTGACCTGGTATTCTGCTAAACTGAGATTAAGTAGAGAAATTAGTACCCACCATCCATCCTCTTCTATGAGATTTGTACCTCAGCTCTTCTTCTTCAGGTGGAATTTAATTGGAATATGATGTTAATGAGAGTTTATCCCTTCAACATTTTTTCCCTTCAACTCCTATCTTTTCCCATCTTCTGAAATCATTGAAAGAATATAACAGAAGTATTTAATACTTCTTTTAGTTTCAATGAGACTGAAATTATTTTCTATGGCAAAAAAGGGAAGATCTCCACTTGAAAAAAATAAAAAAATAAAAAATTTAATAATAGATTTATCAGTTGAGTCCTAAAGTTCTTTTGACTGATGTTCATTTTCACTTCTGGTCCTGGCATACTTGCCTTTTGGTAAGTTCCCCCTGTCCAGAACTGGGTATTCTGTTGTCCCTGAGAAAGCTTACGAAGGAATTCATTCTGTTCTGCGCTGGTGATGCTGGTTAGGTGACCTCCTGCACTTATAGCCGAACACGTTTTCTGTACAGTAGAAAGAGTGAAACACGGAAAATAAAAAATGGCTACAGCTTTGTCATGACAAGATTTCTGAATAAGGAGTGGGCAAGCTAAAAATGTAGAATGAATGATTAGGAGATGGAAAGGGACAGGCAATAAGAGAAAGTCCAAGAAAGGGAAATCTAAGAGGAGTGAAAATGGGAAGTGGCAGGGAAATCCATCGAAAGTTTGCAGTCTCAAATATGAGAAATCAAAGAGAGAAAAAGAGAGGAATGGAGAGAAGAAATGCTCAGTAAAAGTAAAGGACTGAACAGCAGGAACCAAGTGAGTAGTGTCTGTAGTGCAACCAGTTGTATAGGCTTTTTGTACAGTCAGTGAAAATTGCTCTCCAAACTGCAAGAAAGAAACTGAAGGGAGATAGAATGAAGTGGCTATCACTGGGCAGAGTTTACTGAGCAACACAGCATAGGTACCTCCACATTTTTGATAGCTAAACTCAGGCAAAATGCACTGTACAATGAAAATAAATGCAGAAAGACTGATGAGAAGAAATGGAAATTTTGGAGTAGCTGGTCAAAATGGATTCTATTTATTACATTTCTTCCTCATGTCCTCAGCCAGATGGGAAACGGAGTAGGCAGGAACACTGCTCCATTCTTGAGTTTCTCTAAACTCAACTCAAAAAGCTTGATTTGCATTTGATAAAGAAGGATACCTTTTTCTGCACCTTGAAGCAAGAGCACTGTAGCTGGTGTTTAGGCTCAGAGGAAAAATCTGAGAAGAGTTTTCTTCTCTTCATCCTGAGGCATTTAAACTGCATGCACTCTTGTAGACAGGGTTTAAGAGTAATACAACCAAAACTTTTATGGAAATGTTTGGTTTAGTTTTCAAAATACAGCATCAAGTGCAGGGCTTCAAGTTATAGGGCTCACTTGATTTCATCCAAACAGGCAGCAAAATGAAGTCAGAATGTCTTTTAGGAAGTATCACAAAGTGGAAAAGGGATTTGATGAATCAGTCAAAGGCCAAAGCCAGGACATATGAAGCTGTGCGCCACAAGAAAAGCAGGGGGTGAACCATCTCAAATATAACTTGTAAGTTTGGTGTCCTCTTACAATCAGCGATCCCCAAGAATCCCCCCATCTTCTCTTCACTGGTGTATTTTTTTCCCAGAGTGCCCAGGGAAGTGGTGGAGTCACCATCCCTGGAGGTCTTAAAGAAATGTGTAGACATGACATTGAGGGACATAGTTTAGTGGGCAGCGTAGGTGGTAAGTGGATGGTTGGACTAGATATTAGAGGTCTTTTCTAACTTCTATCATTCTATTATTATAGATGCTTCATTTTAGGGCTTGAGGAAAATAGACCCCAAGCTCAAAAAACTCGAAAGGGATACAGAAAGAGAGGAGAAATGGCAACTCCAGGTCTGTGTTCCAAGCAGGAGGTGGTTAATTGTAGAAGTCTGTTATTTTGTGAAGCAGAGTATAACCAGTCTCATCAGGACACTGGTATGAATATCAGGTACTTTTGGTCAACACTGGTACATGACAGAAGCAGCAGAAAGGGAGGAAAAAAGAGTTAGGCACAAAAAATAACTGTGGGAAGCAGAGAGGAAACGATAAACGCTCCCATTTTGAGCAACCGAGTACCTCAGCTTCCAGCCATGTCATTCTCTCTTGAATAAACATGTAACAGTAGCCTTCGTAACGAATCCAGCCTTTCTGGCATCGACTTCGACAGACCCGCTTTGCAGATGAGTCTTGTTGAGACGGGTTAGGAATTATGTTATGTTCAGGCTTAAGTTTGTCAAAAAAGTCAAACAAGAACCGAGCATTGCGATGCTTGCCTGTGGAGTTGCCAGCACCTGAAAGAAACACAGAATAAACTCAGAAGTCTCGCTCATCTTTCCAGAAAAGAAAGTATTATTTCCCTGTAACCTCTTGAATCGACTAACCCCAGTTCAACATCTCACAGGCATGTCCACTAAAGTGAAACTACAAAACGAAGGGCACCCAGACAATTTTTTTCCTTTTTTTTTTTTTTTTAATAAGAAATGTAAAACATCAGTACATGAAGGGCACTAATTTAGGATTCAGATGCCATTGAGGTTACAAGCAGAATTAACTTGCTGTTGTCGTTACAGAGTCCAGTGGGTGCAGCAGTACTTTAGCAATCTATTCCAGTGTGTGGTGCAATGCATCACATTTGTGGATCTGTCCCCTGGAAACAAAGCAGCAGGTTCAGCAGGCCAGCTCTGAAAGGTGTGCAAGACTCTGTGGATTCCCAAGAGTCATCAGCATGTGGCTTGCCTGGCTGGAATTGTAGTATATTAGTCTCTCTTTGCTAGAGAGAGCCTATCTCTGCAAAAGTAATAGGGATTTCAGGCTGGTTCATCACACTGCTTTAGAAGAGAACAAAATACATCTGTCAGACCTGAATTAAGATGGATTTTGTTGAAAGTTCTTGGAATTGATTTCTTTCCAGTTTCCTTATTGGTGAGTAGTCAGCAGAGTTGGGTTCAACTTACAAAATATCATTGATTTCTCTCCCCAAACCACAGCTTGTAATTTCCTCTACAATTATAGAGCAGGTCTGCTTAGAAACTACTTGTATCCATTCAAAGTTTCATCTTGTGGAAACCACATTTCTCCTCTCTTTGGACAGATGTGCTTGGCACAAGTCCAGACCGAAAAAAAAAAAAAAAAAAAAAAAGAAAAAGGAAGGTATGTCAAATATTTTCCTCCCGTATCCTCTTTTCTGCTTCCTGAAAGGAGATTCACAGCATTACTGTTTCAGCACTCTCTGAGTGCTTTTGGATTTCTGGCCATCCCAAGCACTGAGATTTGCTAAGGTGCTGCTCATGCCTTCTCAGAATACCTAGCATGTTGCAGTCTTTCTCCTCTAAGACACAACAGGGCACAAAACAGTGGGCATGTCTTTTGCCCTGATATAGTGCCATGCCACCACAGCCTAGCCAAGCCAAGGTGATTGCACAATTGGCTCTGACTTGGCTAGCAGTCATACATTTCTCCTTGTGTAGAACTTCAGCAACACACAGGGAAAGTCTCCACCTTCTCTTGGCATTCTCTGTGACCTTCAAAGTAACCCATCCCTGTGCAGGGAGTCCCTGCCGTGGAAAGAGCTTGGCTTCTGGGTTTGAGTGAGAGAGTCAGATAAACCACAGGACCTGGTCTGGACAGATAAATCAAGGAACTAATGACAGTTTGCAGAGCTTTGCAAGAGAGAAGCTTGCACTGTGGCAAGGTCACATGCAATGGCTCTAACTTCTGTTTTTCCTGAGTACTTTTTTGAAAAGGTCAAGATGACACTAAACTCATTTTACATCTAGAAAACTATCTCAGATCTTCAGCCTTAATGACTGTGAAGTAAGCCTGTTCTGGCAACAGAGGCAAAAAGTTGAAGCAAGGAGACAGGTTTTATGTCTATATACATACATACATATATATATGTATATGTATATTTACAATGTTATACATACATACAACCAAATCACGTTAAACTCACCTTCTGAGCCAGAGAGAGCTAAGGCTCCAAAAAGGAAAAATAGAAACAGATGGGTCATTGTCAGGAGACCTGGTGATCCTCCTGCCTGTGACCTGTAAAGAGCAGAAGGTGGTCAGTGTGGTACTTAAACACTGGTGGAAGCAGGAAAGATCTGCCACCTCATGAAAGAGACTTGCAGCGGTGTATTTCACTGCACTGGGGAGAGCATGCACATGAGGTGGACTGAGAACTGCAGGGCCTATAGCATTGTGGCCAGCATGAAAAAGCTCAGCAAGTGACCTGCAGTGTATGTCCCTGGGGTCAATACTGCTGCCAATCCTTGCTAAGATCTTAGTTAATGCCCTTTGTGATGGAACACAGTGTACCATCCATAACTCCGCAGATGATTTAAAACTAGGAGGAGTAGTTGACATGCCAAATGGTTGTGCTGCCCTTCAGAGGGATCTCAACGGACTGGAGAAATGGGTAAACAGGCAGCTCATGGAGTTCAACAGTGCAAATACCAAGTCCTGTCTCTGGTGAGGACTAACCCCAGACACCAGTGCGGGCTGGGAGCCAACTAACTAGAAAGCAGCTCTTTGAAGAAGGAGCTGGTGGACAACAAGCTGACCATGAGACAGCCACGCACTTTAAAAAACAAGGACAATAGCCTCCTGGGTTGCATTAGGAAAAAGATAGCTAGCAGATTGAGGGAAGTAATAATTCTTCTCTGTTTAGTTCTAGTGCTCGGCTCTCCAGTACGAGATAAATATAAATGTAGTAGAGTGAGTCTAGCAAATAGCCACAGTGATGAAAAATTGACTGAAGCATCTTTCGTATGAGATGAGAAAGATGAGACTGTTCAGCCCAGAGAACAGAAAGTTCTGAGGACACCTCATTATGGCCTTTTAGTATTTAAAGGGAGTTTACAATCAGGAAAGATTTTTTTTTTTTTTACATTCTAACAGTGATAGGATAAGGTGGAATGGTTTTAAACTAAAAGAGGGGAGATGTAGGTATTAGGAGAAAATATTTTAGTCCCAGGGTGGTGAGGCAGACTGCCCAGAGAAGCAGTGGGTGCTCCATCAGTGGAGGCATTCCAGGCCAGGTTGGATGAGGCCTTGGCAGCTTGAGCTGGTGGGTGGCAGTCCTGCTTATGTCTACAGCAGGGGGGTTGGAACTAGATAGGCTTTAAGGTCCCTTCTGACCCAAACCATTCTATAAGTTTGTGATTCTATAATTCTTCTGACTCCTTCCTGCTGTAAATTCTCCCTCTCAATCCACCTTATCCTTACTTCTTTCTGCCTACTCTGGTAGTGCATTTCCTGCTCCTTTGCTTACACCATTTATGGCAAAGTCACTACCTCTGCATCACTTCAGAATGTTGCTCAGCTCACCAATCAGAATTTCAGATCAGAATCAGTTTTTTTGTTAGATTTTCCCCCCATTTTTCAGCATAGATTTTCTCTTTCCAAATTGTCCTGTTTCTCATTTGCTTTAGCGCACACATGAAGAAATTATTATCCATCTTCTCTCTTTATTTTTTTTTTTTAAAACCAATTTTCACATTTCTTGTTTTAGTAAATCAGCTCTGAAGCATATGAGCAGAATGCAGGAGAATGAACGGAAAGTAAAACAGCCCTGGCATTTGTCAGGGATAACTTGTAGGGAAGGTGTCACACAGTTGCTTTGGCAGAATCAAAAAAACACCTCCAGAGCTACTGCAGTGTATACAAGCAAGGATGAAACAAATAAGGACAGAATTGACGCAGGGCTGAAAGCAGCAGCAGAAGGTTGGACTTCATTCATTCAGTGTACGGACAAAAAGAACTGAAATGCCATTGCTATGAGAAATAGAGAGATTTTGATGGACCTCAGATTGAGTTAACACAAATCATTTGGTTAGTAACTCCTACACAGAGCAAATCAAAGATAGTCCCAGTTTGCACATATTTTGACCTTCACTAGGCTATAAAAAACCCATAGAGTGATTTCATTTCAGTTGTTGTGGTGGCTCTGGATTGACAATTGAGTAAAGAAGATTGAAACCATGCCTATTGTGAAATTGAAATCACACCTATTGCATGGAAAAGTTACATCCGTAGTGCTAAAGAGATAGAGAAGGTGTAAGGAGCAGATAACATATGAGAATGATACCTCTGTAAAACAGAAAGTGGCAGGTATGTATAAATATATTTTCATATAATGTACACACTCCTATGAACACGCATGCATATTTGTAAACTTACATGAGCATAAATATACAGACATAAAGATACAAAACAGCTATGCAGAGATATTAAAAATGAGTATTTAAACCCACCACCTTTGCCGATAAGCTGGGGTGGTTCTAAGAAAAAATGGTGAAAAGAAGATACCAGTTTATGGATGTGTGTTCTTCCCTTTAATTCCTTCCTCCTCTTCTCTTTAGGGGAGAAATCTTTGTCTTTGAGGTATTTATATTATGGCAGCTTTTGCTAGCATGGTTCTTTGCTCTGGTAAATGAAACCACCTCCAGTATTATCCCCGACAGCTTTTGCTGTGGGAGTATTTTCCCTCAAACATGAGTGGGTGGGATCTGATTCTCACCATACTTTGTGTACACTGATTGAAATGTCTGTGTGTATTAGGGCCTTAATCTGAAACACACCCTTAATCTGGGCAATTAAGTGAGAAGTCACATGGGTCCTCAGGGCGAATTCCTATCTCAGCACCAGAGGCGGTGGGGCTGTGCCTCAATCAGTGAGGGGCTGAGAGGCTTCTGTGGAAATACCATCACTGGACAAAACCAGGGCAATCAGCCTTGGCATCTTTAGCCAGTGCGTAAACATGTTTTCTGTGGCTAGACAGGTGTGCGAATGGAAGTATCACTTAAGCAATTGTGTGCATGTGCTCTGTTTGTGCTCTCTTGTGAACAGGTACCAGTTCATCCCTGTGTTGGCTGCAGGGCAATACCTAATGGGGACTTTGCATGAACTATCCCTGCGGGAGTATTTTTACATAAGGCGGGTATTGAGCTCTGCTGGTAAAACAATATTGTATGGTACAATGCTGAGAAGCTTTTCAAGCTCTATTAAATTTACATAGGCTCCTACCCATTTCTTTAATCCAGTTCAAACATCCTCATGTACAACAAATATCTTCCCTAGTGGCTGAAAAAAAGCCCTGACGCATAGTACACATTTGCACTGATGCACTTACATAAAATCCAAATATTTAGTAAAGAGGTTGAAATGACCTCCATTCTTCCTCTACATAAATACAGGCCTTACCACTGTTAGGCCCAGAAAAATCCATTCCTTAAAATTGTTCTTCACTCTTTGTCAGATGTGGAATATATTTCAATGAGGACATTCTCCATGGACACCACAGGCTGGAATCCAGGTCTTTCTTAGAATGGTGACGTGGTTGGTTTTCATGAGCTTGCTCCACAAACACCAGCAGCTTCTTGGAATGCTCTGTTGGAAGCCCACACTCAGCCTCATCACTCAGTACAGTTGGTATCTCAACTCTCTCAAGAGAATGAGATCTAAAAACACATTGGGAAACACTTTTTTAGGTGAACTTTTTATGTACTGACTGCAAAACTGCACTTGACTTCAGAAAGCTGCTTCATCTTGCTAGGAATACAATGTAATATATATTCTGTCTTTGATGATGACCAGTTGTGGATGAGGATTATTGTGCTAATCCTATGGTATGAGAGGAAAAAAGTGACCAGATTTTTATATCCACTCTCTCCATAAAATATTAAATATTAAAGAAGTTATTTATACAAAGCAGTAGTCTCTTTGCTACAGCTATATGCATAACTCCTACAAATGCTGATAGATTTCATCACATTTTTTTGTTTTATTCTTAAGTAGTAAATGAATTAACTGTGATCATGCCCTAAACATTCATTACCTTGTACTATTTGCTGGATCTTTTTGACAAATAGTCCTCGTGAACAGCTGTATTCCAAATGTTCATGCAGGTATGTAAGCCATGCTTTATATGCTGTTCTCTTGACTCAAGGAAATTATCAGTAATAAGATTTCAGGTTGTGAATTTAGCATTTGATTTCTATGAATATCTTACTTATTGGAAAGTTAGTGTCTCGTTTTTTCGTTTGATAGTATATCTGTGCTAAATTTATACAGAATCATAAAATCCTCTGAGTTGGAAATAACTCTTAAATGCTAATCCAAGGTTACAGGAATTCAAGGGTCACACCTAAAAATGTGCTTTTCAAATTTTCAAGATCTTCACAGCCCACAACCCCTGATATAAACCAGCTGGCCACTGCGTTAAAACGTATCTGAAACTTCTTCCCTCTACTTCAGCTTCATCATTCAAAGATGAAGCTGGTTTGCTTGAATTACAAAGAATTTTCATAGGACTTAGCTGGAATCTTACGGCCTTTATGAAGATACCTCTTTGCTGTCTGGTTCTCATAGCATGGACATATTCTGTTTCCCAAAACCACTGGCCGATGTTAGGATGCATGATGCTACTCATTTGCAGTTTAACTCTCAGCAGTCCCATGAATCTACACAGAGATAGTTTTGAAGGCTGAGCAGGGGTTTCACTGGGAGAGTCAGAGCAGTCAGCTGCATTGCAAAACAGCAAAGATGTGGTCAACCGAAACAGCAATGCAATGGCTGAGGTTGTGCAAAACACTTAGATCAGTTCCCAGAGCTCTCTGTCACACTTTCTATCTTCCCCTACTCTCCTTTTCTCTCCCCCTGCTCCTGTGTTGCTAGGATGTGTGTCAGCAGAATGGAAATGATACTGTTCCTGGGGGAAATGAAATTTAATATTAATACTTTCTCCCGTAGAAAAGTGAAGGGTGAGTCAAAAATGAATAGAGTTTCTTTTATATACGAAGTCTTTCATTCTGCATGGTAACTCAAAGCACAGCACTGTGAATTTAATGTTACCAACTCCAGTGGCTGTGTAGTCAAACACAGCAGGCTTTGTGCATTAAGCAGTAATGTCTCATTAGCAGGAGTTTCACTAACAAAGAAATAGGGGAGAAATGCTCATCAGAGCATTTCTCTGTGGGCAGTATTTGATATAAGTGTCACAAGGAGCTCT